AGGGAGGGAGGGAGGGAGGGAGAGAGAGAGAGAGAGAGAGAGAGAGAGAGAGAGAAGAGGAGAGGAGAGAGAGGAGAGAGAAATGAGAGAGGAGATAGAGAGCAGAGAGAGGAGAGGGAGAAAAGAAAGAGAGAGAGAGAGAGAGAGAGAAAAAGAGAGAGAGAGGGAGAAAGCATGCGCACAGAGGAGAGAGAGGGAGGGAAGAGGAGAGAGCGAGAGAAAGTGAATGTTGTGCACTCTCTTTGGAGTTGAGATGTAAGCAGATAATTCATGATATTGTGCATTTTTTTTTTCTGCTGCAATAATTTGCTGACATTCAGTCTTTTTATTTATTTATTTATTTATTTAAAATATATTTTATTGATTTTTTACAGAGAGGAAGGGATAGGGATAGAGAGTTAGAAACATCGATGAGAGAAACATCGATCAGCTGCCTCCTGCACACTCCCTACTGGGTATGTGCCCGCAACCAAGGTACATGCCCTTGACCGGAATCGAACCTGGGACCCTTAAGACCGCAGGTCGATGCTCTATCCACTGAGCCAAACTGGTTAGGGCGACATTCAGTCTTTAGGCAGAATATAGACCACTTGTGGTTGTGTCTGTGTTGACAACCTAATGGTAGGTTTATTAAACTAATAGCCAAATGTTGCCTTCATCTGGGCTATTAATTTCCTTGAAAGTTTTTTTTGAACTTGACAGAATGATGAATGATATTTAGGATTTCATTTTGCTGCCATCTCCTCTTGGGTTTAACTCAACAGACCTTTGGTGGACCCTTGCTCTGGGTCAGGTCTTATTTTGGGCACTAAGAGACCAAAGTTGAATAAAACACCTCTTGCCCTCAAGTTGCTCAGTATTCCCCTAAATAAGTCTCATCAAAACTGAGCTAAGCCCAGCTGGCATGGCTCAGTAGTTGAGTGTCAACCTATGAACCAGGAAGTCAAGGTTTGATTCCTCCTGGTCAGGGCACATGCCTGGCTTGTGGGCTCCATCCCCACTGGGAGGTGTGCAGAAGGCAGCCAGTCAATGATTCTCTCTCATCATTGATGTTTCTGTCTCTCTCTCCCTCTCCCTTACTCTCTGAAATCAATAAAAATATATTAAAATAAACAAATAACTGAGCCAAAGGAGCCATTAGACTGAGCTAACAATAGATACCATCTACTCATGCGCCAGGCCAGGGACCTCAGAGGACAGTGCTGGTCCCTGGCACTGAGCTGCATTGGAGCTTCCCCACTCTCTTCCACCTTGTTTGCTCCACACACAGTTCCCCATGTCTGTATCTGCAGACTTGCTCATTGTCCTGGGGGATGGCTCTCTCTTCTTTGCTACTTCCCAGCACATTCCCTCCCTATCTCCAGTGTTAATTTTTTTTTTTTGTCTCAGTCTCTGTTGGGGCTATTTTGTTAAAAAAAAGAATGGGGGCGAATTTCCTTTTTTTACAGCAGCATAGTATTCCGTTGTGGA